TTCGGATACTACTCATGATAGCAGCGCTAAACGGGTTAGACTTGCAGTGTGCGGACATACAGAACGCTTTCCTCACTGCACCAGCAATCGAAAAGTGCTACATGGTAGCAGGACCCGAGTTTGGGGAGGAAGAAGGCAAGGTTTTCATTGTAAGAAGGGCATTATATGGTCTAAAAGGATCATCAGCGGCATTCAGGTCACATCTGGCAGAGACGCTGGAAGAATTGGGATTCTGGTCATCCACTGCTGATCCTGATGTTTGGATGAGAGCTGCTGTTAAACCTGATGGGGTTTGGGAGACTTGAGCAACTTCTGTTCATACAGATGCCTCACGTGGTTCAAACTTGTTGTTGACTCACCGCTTCACAGTACTTGACCTTTACAGCCGAATCTTTCACTGGCAATCAGAGTAGCATATTAACAATTAATGCCTCAGTTATTATTATAATACAAGATGTCCCAAAGTACTGCATTCAACACAGAATCCTCGTAGAAGTTGAATCGAGTTCTGTAAACAAGGGATTTTCCAAGGGAAAATCGTTGAACTCACTTTTGTGATTGAATCATCAATTCAAGCCAAACATTAATCAAATAGGAACAATTTCACCCAAAGTATACCTGACACAGGAGAACTATTGTTGTGAGAGTGTTGTACAGTCGATTACAAATTTAGATTGCAGAGAGTTTGTTCTGAGCGCTAAAGGCACTCACAATAGAGCACATTTTGCTTTATTCTAACACTATCCATCGTTGTGGTGAAATCGTCCAAGAATATTTCATAAACAATTCTCTCGGCTTGTGTGTGTCCTTGGAAAAGGGTGACATTGTTAATGCCACAGATGACCATGTCGTCATGTACAGTGAAAAGAGGAAGAACGGCGGCCATGTTGCCTGCATCAATATCATACATCATATTGTTAGTTCACATTTGTTTCATTCATAACAGTTTTTGTTGGTGTTGTTCAGCACAATTCTTAACAGTTTTCGTTGGTGTTGCTCAGCACGATTCGTAACAGTTTTTGTTGGTGTTGTTCAGCACGATTCATGACAGTTTTTGTTGGTGTTGCTCAGCACCATTCGTGACAGTTTTCGTTGGTGTTGCTCAGCACGTTCATTATAATGTTCATAACATTTGATGTCATTTCGCATTTACGACTACGTTCATCATTACGTTCATAATGTTTCATGGTATTACATTTCCATACATTTCAATACGTTTCATTTTTGTTTCGTTCGTCGGATAACTTTTGACAGTTATTGCTGGATCTGATAAACCATATAAATGTAATCGTTGCATTATTACAAGAGTGTTGACTTACGAAGTAGTAGATATTATAGACAGTAATGTAGATCAAATCGTATTCTTGAGTGTGGTCATCGTCGTTTCATCGACGGGCTTCCGCGAAGGCCGATCCCGTTCACTTACGGACACGAACGATTGCATGCGTTTGCATGCGTTTACAATAGCACGGTAGCCTTCATTTGTGTTATCGTACTCGTTTTCGTACCGTATCTCTCGTACCGGTGCGTTTTGCGTTGTGGAGCTTCGTGCTTCCCTGGAGAGCTGATTTTCAGATAGTTTACTTACAGCACCGCAGGATATTGGCGAGTATAGGATGATGCCTGGCACTACGGAAGCTAATGATGATTCATGGACTGTGGCTCACGAAGCCTCGCAGCAAATGGTCTTGCAGGCAGCGATGGAGGACGTTGAAAAACAAGCAGTTAAGTTGGAAGACGATTTAGTAATTGCGTTGAAGGAGAATGCGAAGCAAAGTGATCAGCTTAAAACGATGCAACGCAAAATTGATGAGTTGGAGGTATCTTTGGTATCTGAATCTTCGAAGCTACAAGCGGTGCAAAAGGATTATGAACAAAGTGCTTCAGCTCTTGAGTCTACGCGATCTTCAGAAAAGGAAAAGGACGCACGATTTGATCGGCTGCAGCGAGAGTCTGATTCCCTGAGAGACGAAATCGGGTTAGTTTAGCTAGTTTGATTGCAACCGGAAATCCTTGTTGTCTTTGTTGCTCATTTGTTTCTCTGATTTGACCCGTCACCAGTCGCTTGAATGCAGAAAACAGAGAATACAAATCCAAGTTGAATGAAACTGAGGCTCAAGTGAAATTGGACAACACTGAGATAGTACCATTGCGATATGAGGTCCAGAGACTAATGGCCGAGATGAGGTCACTGTCTTCGCACTCCGCTTGGTTGGAGCAAGAGCTGAAATCCAAAACCGACCAACTTCTTTCTCTTCGCTCATCACATGCTCAAGTTGTGGAGAAACTTCAAAGAGAACTGGACGATGCTTCTGAAGAGAATGAGAAACTGAGCCGAAACTCTGCTTCATTACGACAGCATTTGCAAGTAGCTCAATCGAAAATTGATCACACCGAGAACGAGCTTCAGAAAGTTCGGCAAGAAGCCTCCAACAAGGCATTAGAAAGTGAGCATGCAGCTACGGCGTCGAAGAAATTGGTGGCGATACAAAAGCACAAGATTGATCGGTTGAACAACAAATATGACTCTGTTTGCAGGCAGATTGAGGGGCTGAAACGATTAGCGAAAGATGCACAACAACAAGGCGACTCTGATTTGCATGCAAGAGAGAAGGAGTTGCAAAGCAAAATGGATGAAATGCTAAAGGAACAAGCAAAAAGCTTTGCAAAGCAGCTCACCGATTCCAAAGCAAAGCTGGAACAGGCAATCCGTCGCTGTGAACAAGCCGAAAATTCTCTTCTTCTCGACGATGCAGCAACTTCTTCGAAGAAGAGAAAAGCAATTGACAAAAACACTCTGGAACATCTCAGCCTAACTGACTTATATTCCCGAATTGCTACGGCTGAAGATGAACTTCAAAAGGAAACTTTGCTTCGGAAGCAAGCAGAGATTAGAGTGACTCGAGTTGAGGCGGACATTAGAGCAAAGGCACCTGAACTTCTTCGACAGCGCAAAGAATACGAGGTGGCGGTTGAGCGCCAATTGGAATATAAGAATCGATTGCAAAGCGCTTTGGAAGAAGCAGAAGAGGCGCGCTTGCGTTATTCTGAGCTGGAGGCGGAGGTAGGAGGTCTACGGTCGCACAACAAAGACCTCGAGCTTGACTCTATTGAACTAGCCAAGCAAGTCCAGTCGCTTTTGGCGTCTCGTACCGCCATTAATGGAGAAGTAGAATCAATTCCCGCATCAGTGACCGAAATGCAATCCACAAACCAACGGCTGCTGTCGGAGCACCGTCAGCTAACAGCGAAGGTGCTGGATTTGGAAGAAGAAATGCAGCAGAATGTTTGGCAAGAAAAAGCTGAACGTCTCGAAAAAGAACTACACACGTTGATTGACGATAGGAAGCGGCAAGAGGTCATGGTAGAACAGATTGTTGAACAACGTGACCTATTCCGTGCCCTAGTAAATAATCAGGATAGTGCCTCCTTCTCTGGAGAATCACGTTTGGTGCTTTTACACAAACACGCAGAGCGCAGCAACGAACTCGAGGAATCTAAACAAAAAATTCAGGAAAAACTAGAAGTTGCTACGAAGAAGCTTGATTGTTCAAAGCAAGACTCGCTAGAGATGTTAGAACGCCTCAGCCGATACGAAGCACTGAACCAGGACCTTTCAAAGAGTGTCGACAAATTACAGAGTCAGTTATCGACAGCCATGGCCAATGCTGCAAAGTGTAGTGCCGATTCAGCATTTCACAAGAATAAGACTTTGCGAACTGAAAGCACTTCGCTGCGGCTTCGGGAAGAGCTCTCAGAGATAAATGCCTCAAAGAATAAATTACAACTCATCAATCACAGCCTTCAGGATGCCCTTTCCAAGGCGAATTATGACTATGTCGTGATTGAAACTGAGCTTGAACAGGTGCGTCTAATTTGATTGTTCTGTGGTGCCTTTCTTGTTTTCAGTTTTGGAATAGAACTAACATTAAGTGGTCAAAGACGAAGGTGAAACTTCGGGTTGCAGAGTCACACGCTGAAATAGCCAGGAAAGCTGAGGAACGAGCGTCAAATGAAACGAAGCAGCTCCAAATGGAATTGACAAGGCAAGGCACCCTTGGTAACTCGATTCAACGCATCGAGACAACATTGGCTGCTAGGAGTACAGCAACTGAGGAGTCGTACAAGAACAAATTGACTGTAGTTTCGAAGAAGCTTTCTGACCGAGAAGAAGAGCATGCATCAGAGCTTCGTCGACTAAAGGAGGAACTAAATGATCGAGCAATCTATCTAAAGTCAGCAGAAGAATCAAGGCAAAAGGCAGCGAGTGAAGCTCAGCAGGCCAACAAGAAACTTCTCAAGACTATCGCAGTGAAGAAACAGTTAGAGGAAAGGATCAAATCACTCGAGTCCGACCTTGCTGAAACACAGGAGAAGCAAGGCCCGGCTAGCATCCAAAATCCCGCAAATGAATTGCGAATGCAGGTCCAATCTTTAACAGAGAAACACAATAGTGTAAAGCAGGAGAACGAGAACTTGAAAAAGCAGGTTGCTGAATTGAAGGAGGTGTCGAAAGGAAGCGAGGATGCGGTTCTTGAAATGACAAATGCTCTGAAGACTGCAAGGACAACACGATCTGAGAAGCTATCAATTCTTGAGGACCAACTGAAAGTTGCTAACGCAGAACTGGAAAAGATGAAGCAAGTTGTCGCTGATCTCACAAGAGATCTGTCGACTCAACAAGGACAAAGAGAGAAGACAGTCCAAGATGGAAAATCGAAACTGGTTGAAGCTGAATCGCAAATAGCCAAATTTCGAAGTGATGCTGAGAACACCAAACTCCAATGCAAGGAACTCCAATCTGAAGTTGCTCAGCTACAATTAGATGCTTCTGTTGCCCAGGTGAGTATTGTAATGCAATTTTGGGCTTACTTTTCATTTTCTCACACGCAAAACAGAAAAACTATGAGCGAGAATTGAACCTTCACTCCCAGGCAAGAACATTCCTCAGGACAGCAAGGGAGGATGCAGAAAACCACCATAGGGCGCGTTCCATGGCAGAGATTAAGTTACAAAACCTTGGTATTGAGCTCTCGGAGGAGAAGGCAATTGTCGCTCGAGAAAAAGCAGACGTGGAAGCGCGATTCAAGGGACAAGAAAAGGCACTTGAAGAAGCCCGAATTCAGAATGTCATCTTGCATGAGCAACTTGAGAAAATTGGAGACCAGATCCAAAATATCCAAGGGGACGCGTTGTTTGCTCATAATAGCTTTCTTTCAAGCAGCGCCGATGTTGAATTGCAAAAGACGATTTCTGAGCTGCGCGAAGTAGTTAAATTTCTACGATCAGAGAAGGAAGTCATGCGAGTGGAGCTTGATGCTGCTCGTCGCGAAGCAGAGAGAGATCGCGCTGCTGCTGAGGTTGCAAGACAGAGTCTTGACCATGTAAGGATCGAAATGCGTCAAAGTGAAGAATTTACTGGATCAATTGACAAAACCAGCATCAAGTCAAAATTGGATGGCTCAGAAAAACGTTGCCAACTCTTAGAGGAAAGCAATGCTCACTTGAGACAAGAGATAAAAGCCTGCCAACAGAAGATTGTAACTCTAAGTGCCGGTCTGGAAGCCTCAAAACAGGCATCCATCCCAATTGAATTGAACCAACGAGACTTAGAAGCAAAAAATGCTGGGCTTGATTCAGAAAGAGAGAGCCTAAAACGGGAAGTGGAGGACTGGAAGGGAAGAGTACAAGCTCTTGTGACCCAATTCAATCAGGTAAGTTTTGTAATATTTTGTCGATCACTGCAGACAGAGATCATTCATCATCCTGCATATGATTTCTAGATCGACCCTATAGAACACCAAAAAGTGGTGGAGGAGTTAGGGAAGATGAAAACAGAGCTTGGCGACATGGCAAGAAAGAAAGTAGATGCTGAAGACGAGAGCAAGAGGATCAGGCAGCTCGCAGGTAGGGCAAGCAAAGAACTCCAACAGAATAAGCAACTTGTGGAGAAACAGAAAAGGATGATTTTGGAACTGACAGAACAAAAAAGCAATATGGCAAAAATGTACAACGGAAATAAGCTTAAGGATTTGGAAGAACTCAAAAAGAAAATTTCACATTTGGAAGAAGAAAGAGATAATGGGAAAAAGCTTCTCTTTGGAGCAAATGAAATGAATGAGAAGCTGCGTGAGCGGCTAAGGCAGTTTCAAAAAGTGATCAATGAATGCAAGAAGAAGGAAGAACTGCTTCATGTTCAGCTACAACAAGCAATAGTGCGGGCGAGAGATCCTGACTGGGAGAAGGTAGATGTCCGACCAAGATCAATTGCACAATCTTCTGCGGACATGAGAATTTTCAAAGAAATGCAGCAGAAGGATCAAACAGAAAAGCCTGAAATAAAGGAAACGATCGACGGTGCTGCCGTTCCAAGGACAACAAAAGTAATTACAAATGTTCCACTTGGTGGCTTTATGTTTGGTCCCAGTGAGCCAGATGGCTCAACTCTGCAGCAGCATGAAACCATTGATGACAACTTAATGCCAAATAATATGTCTTTGGAGGACAACGATTCAGAAGTGAAAGGTTTTATGGCAGACAGAATCAATCGCAAAATTGCTTTGAAAAGAAGTACAGAGTTGTTAAAAGATGATCTAAAATCGTTGCCAAGGGACGACTCCAAGGATCCGTTGCAGATACCCCACGAATTTTCTGGAGAGCAGAAAGAGCTCAGCATGAAGGAGAAATTGATGGAAAGGAAGCGAAAACTGATGATTGATATGCAAATGAAGCAAGAGGCTTTGAGAAAAACGCAGGATGTGGCTCAGATTGCGACAAGGAGAGCGGAGCCATCTGCAAAACGGACCAAGGTTTCAGCTGACAAGCACCATCCCTCAGAGTCCTTGGTCATACCGAAAGCAATAGATGACTCAGGAGCTTCTGCGATTCGCTTCAGCTTCAATTCTACCAATGAAACCGGAAAACAGTCTCTCGCAACAAAACATAGAGTTGAAAGTACAACTGTCGATTTGCTGAAGGTGCAAAATGCTCCAGACTCTGGTGCATCGCTGCAACTTTCTGACTCAAGTCTTGGAGCTGGAGATACACCTTTTGCTCACTCAAATCAAAAAGAGACTTCCTTTGCAGGTGCTTTTTTGAATATCATGCCTCTTGGAGCTTCCTCAACCGCTCCAAAATTCCAATTTGGTTCTTCAAATGCCATTAAACTTCCAACTCCTTCTGTGCAGCCACAAAGCAATGTTTTCAATGCCTTTTCAACAGCGACAACATCCAGCAATGGCAGAGTTGCTATCAAACCGCTTTTTGTTGCTACTGAGCATGGTGATGATGACAAGAAGCCTGGTTCATATGAAGAGACTGGTGTTGAGAGGGATGAGCAAGTTCAGCAAAATAAAAAACAATTATGAAGTAGTATAAAGTAGGACTGCAAATGGATCAATAAAACAATAGGATCGTCGTCCAACTCACGAATTAACAATTTAGAGTTTGCAGGCGATTGCTCATCCTTCTCAATCGCTTTGGTTTTCACAGGCCCTTTCCTTCTCTCTCTTCAGCTGACTCTCAGTCTTGTCTCCTGTTCCACCAAGTCCGACAGAGTCCTTGGCGACGACAAACAAGTTTGACTCTGGTAGGCTTCCTCCATGGTAGCATGTCTCCATGTAGGT